GCGAAGCCTTGAGATAGACCCATTTTTTAAACGGATGGTGACTGGAGATGAGAAATGGATCACATACGATAACCCTGTGCGAAAACGATCGTGGTCAAAGAGCGGTGAAGCACCTAAAACGGCCAGGAAGGTTTTGCTATGCATTTGGTGGGACAGGAAGGGGATTATTTATTATGAGTTGCTTCCATATGGCTAAACGCTAAATTCTGATCTCTACTGTCAACAACTGGACCGCTTGAAGATAGCGATTGACCAGAAACGGCCAGAATTGGCCAACAGGAGAGGTGTCGTGTTCCACCAGGACAACGCTAGGCCACACACATCTACAGTGACTCGCCAGAAACTTCGGCAGCTTGGTTGGGAAGTTTTAATGCATCCGCCATACAGTCCGGACTTGGCACCAAGCGATTATCGTCTTTTTCTTGCATTGCAAAATTTTTTTAATGATAAAAAAATTGGAATCTATGGAGGATTGTGAAAATCGACTAATAGAGTTTTTTGCAAATAGAGACCAGGACTTCTATGAGAGAGGCATTTTGAAGTTACCTTTAAAATGGCAACAAATCATACAACAAAACGGTGCATATTTGACCCAAATCGGACAATCCGAAGCATGTTAAATAAAGTCCTGAAGTTCATATAAAAATAATGGATTTCTTTTTCCCCAAACTAGTATATTTTCCAGTTTGTTCAATAACAAGTTACCACCTTTCAAGCAATTTCACTATCCCATCCTCATAAAATTGCTGAATTTTTGCAGCAAAAAATTTTTTATATATGAATTTACGCTGTCGCCTGAATTCAAAGCTTTGCCTGATATAGAATTTTGCAGAGAACGAAGGAGATGTGGGGAATGCGAAAATTTTTGACGAGTGAGAAAGAAAAATTCGATCTTGAAATCCTGGATGTTGCTGGTGCAAGCCTTTATTTAATTTGGTTAATTGTTCACTGTATACTCATAATATGCAGTTCTTTTGTAATTCCATCGTGGAGATGGCTAAGCGTATTTTGACTATGACATATTGCTTTGCTGATTTTTGTATAGGATCAACTTTTCATCACCAGTTGCAATGCTCTTCGAAAAGCGATCGTGTTGGTTTCGTTTTAAGAGCATATCGCAGATATTAGTGCACAGTGTTAAGTGAATTTCTTTTAAATGATGTGGAGTACAAATGTTCAGTTTTTTACAAATCCCGGCCTTTTTATGCTGTCGCTAACAATTGTTTTGGGTAAATTAGAAATTTCTTACGAATTGCGATGTGGCGCCCAACTTCAATAGTAATTGGCTTACCAGAACACGACAAAGCCTTCACTGAAAAATGTTCAGAACGAAATTTCGCAAACGAATTTTGGAAAGTGCGCTCTGCTACAGAACATATTTCTTTATGCGCTTCTGCAGCCCTTTAATGTTTTTATTTCAAAGTGCTTTATATGTTCACTTCGGCTTTTCATTTTAAAAATTACGTCTCATCACTATAACTAAATCGATCATTTTGAAAATTTTTTACAAAATAAATACAATCCTGTTACATAACTATATATTCCTTTAACACTAATTATCTTTCTGGCTACCTGAAGAGAGTTATTTTGACCTATTGTCGGCAAAAAGGGCAAGAAATTTTCGGATTAGCTAATATTTACTCTTGCATTTATGACGAATGAAAAAAAATAGCCACATATTTGCTTTTGAAATCAGAAACGTTCTCATCGTACGTGGTGCGTCCGTGTCCTTTGACCGTTTTTGTCTTTAGTTTTACGTTTTACTACAGACATTACATGGATAGACAGATGGCCAGACAGACTGAGGGATAGACGGACGTGCTTAAATCAATTCAGAATTTGATGCTAATCAAGAATATATATCCTCCTACTGTATATGGTTTGTATATATCCCCACATCCTTCGGTGGCAGGTACAGAACCAACATAGAAAGTTGATGGATTAAATGAGCTCCTGTGAAGAAAAGCGGTCAAAAATTTTGTTATTCACATGGGGACTTGTAAAAGCAATCACGGCTGGCATTTGCTGGCATTGCTCATCATTTTCTATGCACACATAACCAAGGGATTATACCTTTTTTTTAAAAACATCTACGCGGATTTTGAAAAATCCTGCAATTAATTTATAAGACACGGTCGAAACAAATTTTAGCTTTACACTCGGCATACTTGCGAAGCCTGGTGGATGGAGCTTAGCGCGCAGGAGCGCGAGTCATGAAATATGTCAAAAAATCTTGCTAATCTAAAAAACTTCCTGGGTTTTGTTCCTCGCCTTGCTCGGCGATTGCTTGATTGCCTTAAGATGACCTCTAATTTCTTCTATGCGGATAATTGTACAAACAGAGAACGCAAGTTACAGTTCAGCAGCGCTTTACTTCGCATTAAATAGAAAAACTGAAGCCTCATGCATATGCACATAATATATGGATCAATAATTCCCAGGGTCAAGCAAAATATAAACAATCTCCTTCAACAGTGACACAAACAGATCAATGCTTTTTTAACGTTCCGATATCTTTAGCACAGAACATACCGGCAAAATTCACAGCAACATCAGTAACGACTTTATATTTGATCAAAGTCCAAAGCATACTTTTGATATTTGCGAACATACAGAATAACCGGTGAGGGCCAGATCTGGAGGTGTTATAGTAATTTTAAATTGAACTCATGCATCCTTGTCTTTGCTCCGCGGCTCCAGTAAACATAGTAACCGTTTGAAAAACGTATTTTTGACGCCCAAATTTACCTGTTTTTTGATTTCTTTAGGATGTTGGTCTTCTCCTGCAACTTAATTTTTCATATGTCGAGCTTTACTAGAACTTTTTTATATTTTTTCTGAAGTCCATAGTGCTCAGCGTGATCGGGGTCCTCAGCAGCACGCTCGGAAACAATAAATCACCCAAAATTTATAACAGCCGATGCTGAATTTTAAGGATATGATGTCCCATGAAAAAACGAAATTTAATTAACGCACGAAGTTTTCCGGATACTTCCATTGCTTTGAAAACAAAAAAGTAATGTCATGAAAGCTACTCGTGAACAAAGTGGTCGAAGTGACGTAAAATTTTAACAGACGTCGTTCGAGCTTTTACGTTTTTTGAGAATAGTGCGGTCTATCAATCTCGGAAATTATTGAACCACGTGCTAACTGAACTTATTTAAGTCTCAAAAACATTGTTATTGCGTACACATCGGCGAGGTCACATTAACGTACTGGAGGGTATATTTTTAGGAAAGGGAAAGTCAATATTATTTAATATGCGACCTTCCTCGAAAGTCTGAAAATATTAATTCCCAGTATTCCCGCAATAAATATTCAAAATCATTGAGTTAGAAGCATAGCTTCAGGTTTTTTTTTTTAAAAATAATTATCACATGTATCGCGTGCGGTATATTTTTCAAATCATATCTTGAAAGAACTTGACATTATCGTTGAGTAAAAAGGAACACATGATGTCACAATATTCGACTTGTGATGAACCTTTTAACGCTCTCTTTCGTATTTCTCAGCAACGGAGAAGTTTATACTCAGGTTTCCAAAAGACAGACAGATAGAAAAAGGGTCGAAATGAACTCGCGTACTCACATTGATCAATCAATATAAGGAGTCTGTCAAATCTCCAAAGCTTATAAATTATGCGTCATAGACATGTATAGCGTCAAGTCTTAAGGAACTTCCGTTGCAAGTAGATAGAATCTATTGGTCGTATTTACCCACTATAAGTCATCGAAACAAACGAGTTTTTGTTTTCGCTGTATAGATGAGGACTCAGTTAGTCTTTAGTCAACTGTTTCATGTGGTGCATGTTATACACAAGTGCTGTTCTTAACTTTTGAAATGGAGAGTCAAAAAGTGCATATTCGACATATAATGCTTTGGGAATTTAAACAAAGCAATAGCGCTAAACTGACAGCTGAAAAAAATATGCAGCGTATACGGTGAACGACTGATCGGATAGTTAGAAATTGGTTTGTAAAATTCCGTTGTGGACCTGAAAAGACGAATCAAGAATGAGACGTTCTTCCAACTTTGACCACAACCTTTTGAAGGCAATATTGGAGCCAATCAACAAGAACTGGAAAACTAGACAACTAGAAAAAAGGTTGAGTACCTAACAATCAACTACCTTGAGAAATTTAAGTCATAATTTCAGTAAACGGAATAAAAAAGATTGCATGTCAATCGCAAAAACGTTATTCTTTTACATGACAATGCGCGACCACATTACGCAATGGTGATTCAAGAAAAAATTCTTAAGCTTGGCTGGGTTGTTTTACCATACCCACCGTACTTCCTGGACCTTGCTCCTACAGACTACCATCTTTTGTGTTTCTTATAAAAGATTTTGAACGGAAAAATCTTCAATTGTGAAAAGCAAGTGAGTCAGGTTTTCGAAAATTTCTTCCAGTTCAAATCAAGGAAGCAACGTGATGAACAGTCGGGAAAAGGGGAGAAGGTCATACATAATAGTGGCGAATACATAATAAATTAATATAATTTTATTATTCAATGGAAGCAAAATAAATGTCTGATAAGGAAACGGTAATTACTGGTGATTCTAACCTAATTTGTATATATATATACTATATAAAAGGATTTCTTTAATATTTTAGAAAAAAAAAAACATTTTTTTTTCTAAAAACAATTTTTCTATTTTTCTTTTGAGAAAATTAAGGAAACAATTTAACAAACTTTGTTTTTAATCTAAAAAGACTTTCTGACATAATAGTTTGTTGCTACCAAACTAATGTTTGAGAAGGATTACATTTGTACATCCACGCTGTCGTATTTCCGCCTCTTAAAAGTTAAATTGCCATTTAAACTTGCTAAAGCCAACACTTAGAACGGAGTGTTTTGCATGCGTGTATATTCTGTACGTTAGTAGAGAATTATTGAAAAGTAATCGCTTTCTTTGTTATTTGCATTTACATATATATATGATAGGAGGGCGAACTGAGCAATTTCTTTTATAAATGCTTTTTATTTATATCACTTACCTTGAATACAGCTGAGGTAAAAAAGAACGGCAAGAGTATGAAAACTACACCGGATAAAACAATTTGCAGATTTAATTCAGTTACTGGTTCAATTTTCCAGGAAATGAGCGAACAACCTAATAAAAATATGTAAATAAGAAGGGAAAGAGGAAAATAATTGAAAAATTGAAAAAAAGTAAAAAAAGAAAAGTGAAGAAAAAAATTTGAGGAACTTTTTTCTTAATGAGGAACAAAGGAGAACGAACGAATTTTTTCTCGCAAATCTTAATTTCTACTTACCTAGAAACCTGTAAGCCCCATGCACGGCGAGATAACCTTGAAACAATGTCAGTAATACGCCGTACCAAATCGACCATAATGAATTTAAATGTAAGTAATTATTATGATCAGGATACATGTGTGACGGATACATGTTGTTGTATTTGGCATGTTTACGTTTCGAATTCATTAGTTTGGCCGGCAAATGTGCGGTTATTGGGAAATTTTGATGATGCTGTTGCTGCTGTTGTTGTTGTTGTTGTTGTTGATGTTGTTGCTGTGACTGTTGTTGTGACTGTTGTTGGTGGTGCTGCTGCTGCTGTTGTTGTTGATTGCTGCTGGCATTTGTTATAATTGAATTCGATATACTCGAATTAAGACTAGAAGGAGTCGCTTTACCCATGAAGCTGCCGTTTAATTGCGTTTCAGTATTACTGCCACTGACAGGCGTTTTATCGTATTGAGAATACCGCAATATGGAAGTTCGTTTCGTTTGTTTCGGTTTGGTTGTCGTTGTCGTTGTGGCCGATGTCGCTGCTGCTGTTATTATTGAACCGTTATTATTATCGTAAGCCAAGAGGGAACCGGTTAAGGACATATCCTGATTGATAAATTTTAATTGATATGTTGTTTTCCAATTCTCTTTTTATATTTCTATATATATACATATATGTATGTGCGTGTATATATGTGTGTGTATGAGATTTTAACGAAGCCAAAAACCGTAACCAAAACCAAATTGTTTCATAAATGCATTGACAATAATAATTATTGGAAATTTCAATGAGCAGCTTTGTAATTGTATCGTAAATTATGATATTTGAAGGCTTTCTTCATATTATTTGCCGGCCGTAAATAGACAGTGACTGCAAGCAAATAGAGAAAAGCAAATAAGTAAATAAAATTAATAAATCATTGAAAAAAAATTTGTAAAAAAAAAATATAATATTTTTGGCTTGAGCAGAATTTTGTAATACCCAACAATGGATTTTTTACTACACTTGATCGTAGGCTATATTCATTATATAGTTCTATTTTAGATAACTTTATGGCAATTTTGCCACAACGGCCAAATGATATATCCATCTCTTCCGTTTTAACATTGAAACTGAGAACAGGTTCCTTCTGCTCTTGTATTACTACATAAATACACGTTAAATAAATTGAGAGGACAAAAGTAAGAGAATATAAGTGCGAATATAATCGTGCATGATAAAACCTCCACAGCTTAATTTAGTCTTAAGTTATTGGCAAATTTCAAATTGTTTATGTTAAAAGTGTAAGCAACATTTTAATACAATTTTTCTGATTTTGATCTCGGCTTGAAAAAAAATTACGCTGAGAGCAAATTAGTTTTTTCGGATAAGGACTTTAGGTCAAGATCATAATTTCTCAAAATGTCGAGAAACACCAGTATGGTTAAGTCGATAGCGCTCCTATTCACATTGATGAAGAATATAGATTGCGTGATAAACCTTATATAGATTACAATATAAAAAATAGACCTACGCAATCCAAATTTGCTACCGTTAGTTTTTTTGCTAAATTGCTAGTACAGGCAAAATTTTCATCATAAAATATTTAAAATTAAACTTTTTCTGAGGAGAATTTAGTCAGAAACTTCTTAAGTGCTGGCCGCACACAAAGCGTTCCCAGCCATCTTTATCTTAGATCAAGAGGCGTTGTGGTTGGCAAATATGCGTTGCTACGTAAACGTTACATTTGATGATTTGACTTCTTATGAAAACTATTCGATTTTCGACGAAACAAAATTTTAAAGACAGGGAAAAACTATCGCGCCCTATCTGCGTCTTACAACTGGCCATTAGCGAAAAGGTTAGCAACAATTGACAAAAATTTTGAGAAAACGCGGATTAAAGGACTAAAAATATCGCGACGAATATGGGTAATGGTAACTTGCTTGTAAAAGGATATATAAGCAGAAAATTTCCAAGAGATAAAAATTAGTCGAAAAATATAGTCGGAGGGATGTAAAGTGAGTCGAAAGTCAGTCGAGTGAAGAGAGTTGAATTGAAATATTCGAACGCAGAAGACCAGAACGAGAATTCAAGCGTCGCGAATGCATGCGTTCTTGTAAATAATTTGTAAACAGATCTCCTAAGAATTGTACATAAAACCTATACTACCTTAAAAATCATACTTTAGCGGTATGAACTTAATATGAAAAGAAGCCGAGCAAAAAAGACGGCGTACGTTACAACATATATATCATTCAGTTTGGCACTGTATTCGTTGTTAAGTTAAGTTTCTTGTATAAGATCTTTTATGTTTTAAAAGTAGTTTCCATACTGGGGCAAAAATTTTCGTTTTTACAGGGCAGGATGACATTTACGAATGATCGATAAGAATGGATATATGTAGGGTTACTCAGGTTATCAATAAGCGTAATTTTTATTTATTGTTTTACAGCAACAAAAATGCATGAGGATAAATGATAGCAATCATGAAAGGGTTAAATATCTCATATCGTGAAAAAAGTTAAATATATCATAAAAAGAGCGTTAGAACGATGTGTTAATTGGGATAAAGTGCCACCGGCGACGTACGGCATTAAAATTAATTTCACTAACTAAAACTGGTGACATGGTTACACACTTGATCAATTTAACTACAACGGCCATAAACCTGGTCCTAGGCGCCGATTACAACGAATTGAAGGATTAATCAACTGGAAGGAAAGACAACTGGACTTCTATTCCAAGTCTCGTAAGACAAGTATAAGAATGGAGTACAGCAAATATATTTTAATATGCTTGCTAAGGGTATTTGTTGAGACCATTTAATAAATCATATATTTACGAAAGCACTTATGATTAGCGTACGAAGATGGCCAAAATAATAAAAAAACCTGAAAATCGGCATAAGTGGCCGAGTAGTCAAACGAATGCAACTAACAACTCAATGGTCTCGGGTTCAAATTTCAAGCGTGGTAGAGTTTTCAATACAGGCGAGCATATGGTCTATGTTATCCGGCAACATTTCAATCCACACTTTTTTCTACAAAACATATAGAGACAATAAATAAATTAAAAATAAAAATTAATATGCATCTACATCTGGTCAGTGGATATAAAAATACCTTTAGAAAAACAAGTCATAAGAAAATGAATATATTATTTTAACAATAAATAAATTTAATTTGAACTAATTATGAATAATAATTATGCAAACACGAAAGATTAAATATAAACATTTTTTCACTTAATTTACAATTGTTCATCAGTAACGATGCACTTACAAATGCACGCACACGTGCGCTTATAATGTATACACACATTGTAAATATAACAAATTTTAAATAGTTTAACAATTTTTAAAGAGATGAAATCAATTTATTAATGTTTTAATTATTATTACTTTTTTTTTCATATAAGTTTCATTTCCTTTTTTTTAAACTTATTTGGCTGATAATTGTTTTTTTTTTATTTTTTAGAAAAATTCGTTCAGAGATTACTTGAAATATGTATCATAAAAAGGCTTGCAGGCGTATGAGTGCTATTTATTAAAATTTATGATAGGAATTTACAATAAATGTATGTGTACGAAACAACACGAAAAGAGGGCATGAATGGGCGTTTGGAGTTTTTTTTTTTTTGGCATTAAAAACTCTTTATTAAGAATAACTAAAAAAAAAAAAGTAAAAAAAAAAAAAATTCTGACTATAGTAGGTTTAAGTGAAAGTTTTTTTTTAAGGTTTTTCTTTTGTCGTATATTAACATACATATGTAAATATATTGTAAATGAACAAAAAAAAAAAAGAAAAGAAAATTACTCTTGTCCTAGATTTTAGCTGGAAATATTCCAGAATTTTCAACATGCAATAATAAATCATAATCAATCATAAAATTTTTAATTGCGGTATATAAATGTTCGATTTAGTGGAAATTATTTCGTTTGCAACTTCAGGGATTATCTCTTTTAATGGAAGATTTTTTCCAAAAATATTTTGACTTTAAAACGATGATTTGTACCTTATGAAGATGTTCTTCGCTTCGCGAGTTCTATTGATGCAGCGAATGTAACGAATCCTAACGTTTTTAAACTGTTCATATTCAGTCCATAGATAGTTGAAAGCTTATCACTCCTCCTTACTCTAAGGTTTCTCTCTTCCATCCTTCCATCGTTTATTTCCAATAAAGCGATCGCAATGAAACGCACCTTCTAATAACTTCACAAGAAAAACTCAAAAATAACTCTAAAGTTTCTTTCTTTCATTCTTCCCTTTACAGTTAGATGTCTAACATAGTTTGCTACACATAGGTATTGTAATGAGTTCAGGAATTTCTGAGAGACTACATATTTCCTGCTAAACTAAACCTTCTTTCTTTCGAATCATTTATTCTACTCAAGAATATTTTTTACCTTATGTGTAAAAGGCCTTTACGTAGCTGATATACGCTTTGCTGAGGACACTAAAAATACAATATATGCAGTACGAGCACTTTTGTTACGCATTCGCAAAGTCTAGTTAAAACATTTTTTACTCAAATGTACTGCGCTTTAATACACCCAATCTCTTCTTACACGGTCTTTTTTAAACCGGTTTTCAAAAAACACGCTTCATCGATAAGAACAAGTACACTTTTTTACACGAATTTCTTGTTCTAGCAGGATCCTCCAAACAATTTTTTTTTTAATTTTCATTTCGTCAGCAAGCGTCGTACGTGGGAGTTCCGTAGTAGAAAAATCAGCTGTGTGCCCTGACATTATAACGAAAGTGATGAAGGCTTTGAGAACATGACAGTGGCTGACATCGAAGAATTGATGCGAGAAAGTCCTTTGAATGGGAATGATTTGATTGAATTTATGACAGAATATCATAATAAGGAGGTCGATAAGGATGTACTCGCAATTGGAGTTCAATTGCTAACGACTGATTCAATTCGCGAAATTGGGAACAATCTATTGTTACTCATGATCCTGACATGAAGCGTGCATTCAGATCTCAACCTAATTTTAAGTTGTATGCAGTTGCATATCAAGTATTATATAAGCAACTTGAGAAAACGAAAAAAAAAACAGCTGCTAATGGGAGACTTCATAGTCTGCGTATCTACCGTGTAAAAAAAGTGTTAAATGTATCCATTTCTTTGTTTTTTCGCGGAGGGAGATTTCTCTCGCAGCTTATACAATAAATATGAAACCAATATGCGATTCTTGTTCATTTGCATTTCCCTGCTAAGGACATGCGTTCATAATTACCGAACATATTATTGTAACATTGCGATATTTACACAAAATTGAAACTGAACTTTTGCTTAATAATGATTGTGCTGGTTGAACGCAATTAAAACTGGCTATAGGATGGTGCTGTACGTGAAATCAACATTTGCTTACACAGCGTTTTTGAATGCATTATTGTATGATATTTTATAATTAATAGCGTGTCATTCGTGCTATTACGCTAGCATCGACTTGTATGCCCACTGCATTATACATATATCTAATGTCTAGCGTTGATGTGCCCAAGAAGAAGTTAGCGGAAGAAGTTCTCTTTAAAAAGAGCATTTACTTAAACGCTTCATTTCTCTGTAGTCGAGTTTTTTTTAAAGATATTCGGATTAGAGAACTGTTGTATAGACTGCAGAGCGTGTTGCTACATTTATGTTCTATCTAGCTTTACTCATCGGACGACTATTTCAAGATATTCCACGATGTCATTGCAGTTCTGTGAGAGAAGACAATGAAGCCCGTTTCTCCGCGATGATGTCGGCGTATGGTGCCCAAACCACAAGCTCCAGAAATTGATTTTTGGTATCACGGGTGGTTAATAACGGATTATATAGCACTGTGCCATTATATGCAGTGGCCTTAGGTATTCATAGGCAGCCATCCATATAAAAAC